AAACACTATTGATTAAAACCTGTCCTTCTTATCTCCCTGCATTCCACACACGTGTAACCATGTATTGTACCTGTACATGTGTCACTTAGGTTACCATGGCAATCCAAACACACACATACAACAGGACACCGTCGTTATAAACTGGACCTTGACTGTCCAGACAATCCAATGAGTTTAAACATTGATTTATATAACAACTTACCATGAATTCAGCCCGTTATGACGACAGAATATTTCCAATAATCCAAAGGCTGGTGCCTTGTACACAGAATGGGTGTAAACAATGACCTTCTATGTAAATAATACACAGGTAACAACGTTGGACTGTAATTCACACATATGTTTAGGTAGATATACCATCTATATAACTACAAACGTATACACCCGATAAGGAAATGACACAGTCGTCAGGCAGGGTGAAAGGTTAGGAGCAGTCATGCATGACCGTTCAATATGTGATCAGGATTACAGGCATTTAAAATGGGATATACCCTCTTTAAAGTCATTACCAATTGTGTCAGCATTGTCAGCTTAACTTGAATGAAGTTATTTTGTTTTCCTGACAATTTACAGGGAAATGTAGTGTTTTGTATATGAATTCAAGCAGGACATTTCATTTCATCAATACCATATCCTCTCGCTACCACTTATAATCAAATATGTTTTTCAAAAGAAACTAAAATTAAAACTTTAGTCTTATACACCAAGCTAACAATGAATTTGCTGTACCTAGTCTTTAGAGCTCAAAGTTGTTCAGCTTGATGTAAAAAGTTAAAGAAAATGTACATGTTGCTTTTTTTGATTATATTTTAAAATGAATATCTTGTTATTCATGTCTTCAGAGTGTAATATTGGTTTTAAAGATATAGGTCTTTTGCTACAGAGATTTTACTGAAAGATTACATTAAAATGTAACAAGAATGCATTAATTACATTCAACACATGCACATTATCAAATGCAGAAGACATTAAATGAGGAACATAAAGTCAATATATGAAATTATGGAGAAAATGCCGAAACAAATGGAAAGACAACATGATCTGATTATTCACAAAACTAAAGGCAAAAGATGTGCTATTTTTTACTAATTCATTCATCCTTGAAGACACATTTGAACTCTTCCTATTCAAAGGTAATGGAAAAGTTCATTATTAAATTTCAGGGGTGAATGAGTTAAGCTAACCAGGCTTTTGATATCACCTTAAAAGGCCTTAAAAGTCGGTAACCAGTTACCTGGACCGGTAATTCTGAAATAATGAGTTGAAATAGACATTTAATTGGGGCCCATTGTGTTATCTGTAACAATGTTACATAGATCTACATATCTTAAGCAGGTCTATTGTGTGTTCAGTATGGTCTATTGTGTGTTCAGTATTAAAGGTAAACAGCTCTAGTTCGAGCTCAACAAAAACAACAATATCTGTGGATAAATCGGTGTTAGGCCAAACAATGGATGGTATTTAGAGGTCCACCAATTTTTACGCTGCAGTTGAGTCAAACTTTGTTAATCAATGCAAACAATAATCTGGCCGTCCAGGTCAGCTAGTGTTTCAGGGGGCAGATTGGCTATTTTCCCTGCAGATTGCCACAATTTAGCCAGTAATAACCAGAACTGTTCCAGTAATCCACCAGTCTGATAATCTACGTACCCAGGGGTACTGTTTTTTCGAAACGAAGGTGATTATCTACATTCAAACGAAACTAGACAACAGAGTATTCTTATACAGACCATCGATTATATAGGCATAACATTCCACCTTATTCATTCCCTCAAACAGTAGTTTACATGGTATTATAGTTATTTAAATTCACTCTATTGTTATTATTTCAATTCATTCTGCAGCAATTAAATTAAAATCCACTTCATACGCTTTTTGATTAGGTTTGAAAATTTAGGCTTCAATTAGCAAACAGGCTCTATGCCTTAAGTGCAAAGAGTTTTCAATGAACACTTTTTAACTGTTACCCCTGCATTAGTTTGGTCTGGTTTAGTGTTGTTGAACGTCCTATCAACAGCTGTGGTCATTTAAGGACGGCCTCCCGTGTGTGCAAGATGCATACGTGTAGTGTATGCGTGTTTTGGGAGGCTGCGATATGTTCGTGTTTGTCTCCTTGTGATAGCGTGGAACTGTTGCCGACTTTATAGTGCAACCTCGCTGAAACATACTGCCAAAGACACCCAGCAGGACACCCCACCAGGTCTCATTATACTGACAACGGGCGAACCAGTCGTCCCACTCCTAAATTGCTGAGCGTTAATAAGCAGGAGTAGAAACCATCATTTTTACAGACTCTTGTATATCTCGGCCAGGGAACAGAACCCAAAGCCTTCCTCACAGGGGTGAACGCTCAACTAAAGGCCAAAAGTGAGGCATTTTGTCAAGGGAGACATTAGGAAGAAGAAGAAAGTTGTTTAGAAAGAAGAGAAAAAATAAGATCCCAAATTTAGTCACCTCTTACGATCATGCAATGGGGGCAGCAGGTACAATTCATATATCTGAGGGGGCTAATGTTTTTGGATATGAATCATGCTAAATCTGCTGGAGTGGCTATCTCTATTTACAGACTACCTGTGTTAAGTTACCACCTCCATTAACAGACCAACTGTGTAAAGAGACCACTTCTATAAACAGACCAACTGTGTAAAGAGACCACTTCTATTAACAGACCATCTGTGTTAAGGGACCACCTCTATTAACAGACCAACTGTGTTAAGGAACCACCTCTATTAACAGACCAACTGTGTTAAGGGGCCACCTCTATTTACAGACTACATGTTTTAATGGGCCACCTGTATTAACAGACTACCTGTGTTAATATACCACATCTATTAACAGACCAACTGTGTAAAAATACCACCTCTATTAACAGACCAACAGTGTTAAGGGGCCACCTCTATGAACAGACTGCCTGTGTTAATATACCACCTCTATTAACAGACCAACTGTGTTAAGGGGCCTCCTCTATTAACAGACCCTGTGCTAGGAGACCACCTCTATTAACATAACCTGTGCTAGGAGACCACCTCTATTAACAGACCATCTGTGTTTAGGGACCACCTCTATTAACAGACCAACTGTGTTAAGGAACCACCTCTATTAACAGACCAACTGTGTTAAGGGGCCACCTCTATTTACAGACTACATGTTTTAATGGGCCACCTGTATTAACAGACTACCTGTGTTAATATACCACATCTATTAACAGACCAACTGTGTAAAAATACCACCTCTATTAACAGACCAACAGTGTTAAGGGGCCACCTCTATGAACAGACTGCCTGTGTTAATATACCACCTCTATTAACAGACCAACTGTGTTAAGGGGCCTCCTCTATTAACAGACCCTGTGCTAGGAGACCACCTCTATTAACATAACCTGTGCTAGGAGACCACCTCTATTAACAGACAATCTGTGTTTAGGGACCACCTCTATTAACAGACCAACTGTGTTAAGGGGCCACCTCTGTTAACATACCAACTGTGTTAAGGGACCACCTCTATAAACAGTCTACCTGTGTCAATAGACCACCTCTATAAACAGACCAACTGTGTTAAGGGGCCTCCTCTATTAACAGACCCTGTGTTAGGAGACCACCTCTATTAACAGACCCTGTGCTAGGAGACCACCTATATTAACAGACTATCTGTGTTTAGGGACCACCTCTATTAACAGACCCTGTGTTAGGAGACCACCTCTATTAACATAACCTGTGCTAGGAGACCCCCTCTATTAACATAACCTGTGCTAGGAGACCCCCTCTATTAACATAACCTGTGCTAGGAGACCCCCTCTATTAACATAACCTGTGCTAGGAGACCACCTCTATTAACATAGCCTGTGCTAGGAGACCACCTCTATTAACATACCCTGTGCTAGGAGACCACCTATATTAACAGACTCTGTGCTAAGGACCACCTGTTCGAGAAAAGTCCACCAATACAGATTTGGCGCAAAAAACATGCAACACGCAACATTCGGAAATTCTGTACGTCCTCCTCACGTGGCGTTTGAAATGGTAAGTCCAACGTTACGATACCAAAAAGAAGCGGACAACAAACAGGAACAGATAAATAATTGACAGAAGAATGAACAGCAAAGATGAGGAATTGTCTCAACAACAATGACGGGAGTAAAGTTGATTGATTGATTTATCTTTCCCGCCAGACAGAGTAGAATCAGTAGACTGTAATAAAAACTTAATATTCAACACAATTTGTGCAGTTGGAAATTTGGCACTAATAAATTATTTTCATAAATTCAACTGGGACAAATATATCTAATTATCTTATATCAATCAAACGCCTCAAATTGGGGAAGTGGAAATGTTTGATCAAAACCTAATCTGGAGTTTTGAAGATTATACACTGAATATGATTAAGATAGGTTATACTAGACCAACTGTGTTAAGGGGCCTCCTCTATTAACAGGCCCTGTGCTAGGAGACCACCTATATTAACAGACTCTGTGCTAAGGACCACCTGTTCGAGAAAAGTCCACCAATACAGATTTGGCGCAAAAAACATGCAACACGCAACATTCGGAAATTCTGTACGTCCTCCTCAAGTGGCGTTTGAAATGGTAAGTCCAACGTTACGATACCAAAAAGAAGCGGACAACAAACAGGAACAGATAAATAATTGACAGAAGAATGAACAGCAAAGATGAGGAATTGTCTCAACAACAATGACGGGAGTAAAGTTGATTGATTGATTTATCTTTCCCGCCAGACAGAGTAGAATCAGTAGACTGTAATAAAAACTTAATATTCAACACAATTTGTGCAGTTGGAAATTTGGCACTAATAAATTATTTTCATAAATTCAACTGGTACAACTATATCTAATTATCTTATATCAATCAAACGACTCAAATTGGGGAAGTGGAAATGTTTGATCAAAACCTAATCTGGAGTTTTGAAGATTATACTCTGAATATGATTAAGATAGGTTATACTCTACATGTACTGGCAAAATAAAGTTTAAATTCCTTAACATACCAATGCAGTCGCTGCTGTCTTTTGAACCTGAAGAAGCCGTTGTCAGACCTAAATCACATTCCAAGCAGTAGAACTCTGCGTCCGCGGGCTAATAGGAACCTCTAGGACAGGCCAGACACGTCCTCACATCGTCACGGAGGTCAATGTAATTTCCACCGCCACACAAAGCTGTTACCAAGGAAACCAGACACAGGTTAATCACTCATTAAAGCCACCAGACTGTTAGTTTGACATTGACATTCATGGCTGACCAGCAGGGAATATTTGAAAATGTCATTTAGATGTTTGTTTTCATCACAGAAGATGATATAACATTGAAAGCAGTTTGTTTTTGGAAGACATGAAACTTGGGGGTAAATTTCTGGCATAAATCACAAATTTCATTGTCCTGTAATAAGTTGAACTCCTTACTTTGAGTCAATATGCTGCCCCACTGGCTTATAGGATAAATACAATATTATCTAGACAAAATTAAACATCACAATACTTACTGTAGCAGTTTGAGCTAGATGTTGACCCCTGACCCCAGGTGGTGTGAGCAGCATTTGGACACGTCTTACAGCTGGTCTGTCCCCATTGGTCCTGGTACTGGCCTTTAGAGCATGACCGACATGTCTCAGACGCCGCCGAAAAGTATGTACCTGGTCCGCACTCAACTGGTCAACAAACAAACAAACAAATTTAAATCTGAGAAATGATGATGTACCCTATTTATCCAGTATCACGCTCATGCCTGTTTATAATCCCACCAATATCTGCTAGATACTGCAGTTCAGTAGAAATGCCAGCAACTGTTTTCCTGTAATAAGCCCCCTCACCTATTCCAGTTGAAGATTATGTGTTGGTCCAGTCTGGACTTATTGCACGGGAAATATGGTATGTACTTAGTCTGCACACAATTGGTGAACAATCACACCAAGCAACAAGCACATTAATCCGAGTAACATAAAGTACAAAACTCCAATTTGAGATATTAAAAATTTACCCCAAAATTACATATAACATTGACAAAACTAAGCCAGCATAGAACAAGGTCACTGTGACCTACTTTATAAACTATACAGTATGTGTACGTTTTTGTTTGGTCAGTTTCATAATATGAAGCTTTCTTGTGACACGTCTCATCCTCTCGGAATGGTCGCCAAGTTGACATTAACTCATGGTGTATCATAAATGCATAACCCCAAGGTATATTAATGCAGAAACTAAAAGTTACCAGAGCTAGCCACAAGAAGGCCCATATTTGCCAAATACAACGGAAGGTGTAACTGCAAATATACCCAGAAAACGTACACGTCTTGTTGATAGAAACTTACCACAGTAGTTCCCGGACACTTGGTACCCAGGCAGACAGAGAGGCCCCTGTAGTGATATCACCAAGGACATGACATCAGCATCAGAACCCTACAGAAAAAAATGTCAATCATTACCTGAAACGAGAAAATATTTGTAACACACATATGAACCAACTTCTGCCTTGGTGAAAAGGAGCCATTTTTTTAAAACCAATCTTATAGTTTGCAAGAAGTCGAAAATATGAATAATTTAACAGTTTACCTGAATTGTGAGATCGCCATTGTCTACGGCCGCAGCAAGGACATCGGAGGGTGCGGAGGTCGTGTGGGTGATGGAATTCTCTACCTCTCCCCTGTACAACATATCATCATCATAAATCATGAAATTATTGAAATGTCAAATGACTGTTTAATTAACATTATCTTTATCTAATTTATTGGATATATGTACCAGTCCCATCAAAATAGTGATAAATCCTATGTTGGCTTTAAACTAAGGCTAACATGACATGATTTTTTTAACAAAGGAAATTAATTCTTCATATTTCTTAGTGAAACACTGCTCGTCTATCTTGACCTTCCGAGATATTTTTCGTTCAGAATCTTGACTGTTGGAAAGGAGTTTACTATTACCAATGAAACGATAATATATTGTGAAGAAAAAGGAAGAGTGAGAAATTTTGGTTAACTATGGAGGGAGGGGATGGGGAAGGGGGATTTCTTGTTACACCATGAACTTTCAGCAGGGCGAAAAGCATTGGCTATTGCACCTGGTCTTATCTCAATTGTGGCCGGGACGTAACCTTTAAGCTTTGAAAACACTACAAAATTCTCTCTCTTCCAAATCAAGTAAAGTTTTGAAACTTTGAGCTAGGCTATTTGCGATTGGAAATGTGGCAGAAATTATCATAAAAAACATAACAAAACAGGCTCTGTTCTATAAGTGATTTTCAAAATGTTACTTACGGTACAAAGTTTAGCTTGACCTTGACCCCAACCTTAGTAACGTCAGTTACTAGGCAGTCAACCTTGGTAACTTCGTGGGTGCAATTTGTCTCCTCACACAAGCTTAAACTCCACACAGAATTCAAGCTTCTCAGTGAAGCTGTAAACTTTGATTTCAAGGTGGGTGTGTCCACACAGACCTCAGGAAGGTCAAAGGTCAGAGCCATGGTTGCATGGTATCTTTGTACAACAGCATCTGGTCAAGATAGGAATATTTGTAAAATATTTCACGAATCACTTCAGATTAAGAACTGCTTGAGATAAATCAGACAGTTTGCCTCTGTATGAAATACACTGGGTGGAATATTTACAAAGAAATAAGTTTGTTATTCATTAATTGGCCATCGAACGATAAAATAGACTAGATTTTCATTTTTTTTTATTTTTGAAATGTTAATGTTTCTCTGTAGGAAAGCACTGGGTGGACTAGTACTGTCTCTATAAACAAATGTTTGTTATTCATTGCTTGGCCATCTAACGTTAAAAAAGACTACGGATTCCTTTTTTTCTTTTTTTTTTTTTTCTTTTTTTTTACCGAATTTTTTTTCTATTTTCTCTTGATGACTGAGATTTGTTTTGATATTTTTCCTTTTTTGATATTTTGACACTGAAAAACACTGACCAGCACAGGAGGGATAGAAAAATGGTTCCATCCGGTCATCCGAGTCATACTGCCCATATTTGGAGCAGCTGTAGAAGGCTTGGCCCGCCCTCATTGGCTGTTGGTTGGGGTTATTACACCTCACCAGACAGTTGGCTCGGTCCGAGGAACACACCCTCTGGCCACCTATAGGGTTTTCCTGAAGGTGGTTGGGAAGATCTAGAGACCTGCAATCAGAGCCTGTAGGAGGAAGAGGTAAATATAGGATCTTACATGAGTTTCCATTTCATATTTAGCGAGCATCTGACGAGCTAAGATGAAAAATTCATGACGAGATTTATAAATTTCATAAAAACAAGTGTAAGATCTTTTTTGTCACTTAGTCAAGATTTGTGGCATTTATTCATGTAAAACTACAATTTTCATGTAATCTTTAAATGTAAAAAGCCGCCATTTTGACTCAAGTGCGTAAGTCTGTGAGGGCGTGATGTCATATATGAAACAATTGAAACTTACAACCAATCACAGGGCTGATAGGTCATATTACCTGGGTTTATACGCAAACAAATATGACATATAATTGTGTATATTCACTGGATAACACAGTAAATTATGTGATAAATTAATATCTATTATTGTAATTCAGGGTTCGTACAAGAATAATTACTATGAAATTCAAGGCTTTTTTAACGGTTTTTTCAGTAAAATTAAGGCCTAAAATTTCCCAGCAGTTGCAAAATGATCAAAATACAGAGATCTGTATTTGTACTCTGGATGCCTCTAGATTCATCATACAAACACTACACAACAAATTGGCTCAGAGGCTTTTGTATATTGTTATAAAACCGATATATATAAATATCCTTTTTACTGCCCTTTACAAATATCATCTTAATCAGTTTGATGGTGACATTTTAGTCTACTATCTTATCAAGATCTTTGGAAATCTATTGGTAACAAATATTTCATTTTCTTGTATTTTCTAAATTCATTAATGAGAATAACACCATTAAACGACCAAAATTAATATAGAATCAAGGTTTACTGATCATATAGTTAAATTAAGGGCTCATTTTGACCCTTCCAAGACATCTTTGTCAAATTTAAGGGCTTTCAGGGCCTTTTTGTCAGTCTTGAGGCTTTTCAAGACCAAACCTTTAATTTTAGGGCCTTTTTAATGCTTTTACAAACCCTGGTCATTGTTATTATCTACATGTACTTAAAACCTTCATTGTTATTTATGCTGTCCCTTGGATTCTTAAGTAGGGCCTTCAATAAGAGTTACCTGTCACAGACAGGATTAGCTTGGGGGCATGATCTTTTAGAGCACTCTGCAAATTCTTGAGCTGCATGGTACCATAAAACATAATTGGGTTTCTCTGTTCTTGAATGAACATTTTATGGCAGGGGCAAAAAAAACCAGTGCAGTGGGACGGGGATCCTTAAGGTCAGGGAAAGATATTTTTATTTTACCCTAGGGTAAAGATAGGGGGATTCCCCTGCCAGGTCAGGTCAACAATAGCAGATCAGGGAAGATAACTCTGATTTGCTGGAAATTTGTATGAAATTAGCAATTGCATTCATGAAGCTACCACTTGTATTTGATGTGGGAGAAAAATGATAGATCCCCACTTTAGGAGTGATTTGAACAATTTCAACCCTCAATGTTACTATTAAACATCTGACCCTCAACAAAACTCCAGACTAGACATGTAAGAATCCTACCCCTTGGGTTGAGATTATTCCAACTTACCTCCAAGGTGGGGAAAGATTATATTAGTCTTTTAAGGCAGATGATACTTTGGGAGGAGAATTTATCAAAGTGTGTGGGATCTAGTCTCCAGTCAATAGGGAGAAATTTAGCACCTTAAGGCAGAAGCATCTTGTCCTGGGTCTTACTGAATCTTAACTGTATGTACAACCACATTTGTGGTAATGTAATTTTTATACAGAGAAATTCACATTTAACACAGCCAGAAAACTTGTTCCATTTCAGAGGATAACGAAATTTGTATTTTCTTGCGAGATGTTGGAGATGAATCTTACGAGAGAATGTTCGTTTGTACTCCCTTACTTACGCTTCACATAGAGTCGGTAGGTACACATCGCCGCATTGCCGTCACTGTCAAACCCTGCTGCTGATATACCATACACACCAGCACGCAGCTCCTCCGCTAATGAGGTAGAACGTTACATTACAGGGTTTCCATATAACATCATAGTGTCGTAGAGGTTCAATATAACGAATTATTTCTTTAATTTCTCGGTCGAGATTTAAAAGAGCCAACAAAATTTAACGAGCGCAATTAGACTTATAATAACCAGTCTACACTAGTTTTTGAGGACTCAGGTCAGGTGTATTGTATACGGCCAATGTGATTGCGAGAAATTTTCAAGCATATAATGATAACTTTTGTCACATTACTGACCCGTTTTACTACGTCATCAATATGATAATAAACATGTATAATAAAACCTAAAGGTGCTGCATTTCAATATGACATTGACATTTATGTAAGATCCTGTACGTCAGGTATTCAAGCTCATAAAATTATGAACCAATTCTGCAATCGATCACTCATTAGGATTTTAAACCAATTGCCTGTCACTACAGACAATGCATGCATAAGCTCAAAAGTTCTTTGGACTAGGTTAGCTGTTCATGTTTTAGAAAATCAATTTAAAAACACTCATAATTTTTTTTTCTATTCCGATTTTCAACTCACCTCCAGTATATCTGTTCATAGTTGTTGATACTGCTCGATCAAACAGCGGTGAAGTCCAGATGGCATTTTTATCCCGGTCAAAGGTCACATACTGATCCTGAGGACAGATTCTCACAGATGCATAGTTCGTTGCTGAAATAATAAAATAACAAGTTCACTGGCTGGTTACTTTTTTGTTTGTTTCATCATGATTATTTTTTCATAAAAGCTCCACGACACAGGTTTTTCTTTCCAGACATAATTGTTTAGAGCTTTTGTCACGCAGGTGAAAAGGTTCCAGTTAGAGTGGAACATGGATCCCCACCATCTACAATGTACCCCAAGAGTCCTGGATGGACCAATCGAAACTTGAGAATACAGTCATGTGATCATACCTTGATATAGACCACGGCAAGATTCCTGAGTGAAGCATCCATCTGTTTCTACCTCACTGTTGTAGTCTATGGTCAGTGGACCGTGCTCAACCTGGTAAATCACTGGACCATGAACCACCCCCACAGGGACGTACGACCTCCTGTTGGAGTAAAGTTCATTTATCAGGACTGCAGAGTCAAGCTCCTTCTTGACTATAAACAGGCGACTGATTCGACCAACAATGCCATTCGATCGGACGATCTGATTGGTTGATGCATCATAGATTCCTCCAATCACAAGCCACCCACTGAAATAAGACATGCATGTTAAAAATTTAAAATGTTATCAAATTAATTTAATTCTACCTCTTCGTCAAACTTTGTTAATCTTGGCTGCAGAAATCTGGAAAATTTGCATTTTGAACAGAAATTTCCTCTGCAACATTAATTACAACTGTTTGAAATTTGTCAATTCCTGATCCAGATCTAGAGGATAAATATTCATCCACTAAATTATATAACGATCTTAAAATTTACAGGTGGATTGACCTTGTTTTATAACATAATAACGCAAACTAGCAAAAGTCAGCATTTTAGTTTCGGTCAAGCACATTTGGCAATCTACATACATGTGCCGAATATTACTGAGGTCAGCCTCGGTTCAGATATGCCCTTCTTGTTTTATTTCAGGTTCAACTGTTTCAACTGGTTGAACTGGATACGTGAAAGGGGCCCTGCACAACCTAAGTGTGTTCAGACAGAAGTTGCCTTGACAGCAAACGGTACCCTATGGTACAGCATCCTCGGAACTTTTGGGGTTGATGCTCACCGACGTTCTCTCGACCCCCAGATTATGTCATGACAAAATTAGACGCTCTGTATGTGCCACCTTGCAGAAGGGAGAAGTGATGTAAGAAGACTAGTTTTATCCTTTGACGTTCATCAAAAGTATCGCACAGCAATGTAACAGTAATCTTCAAAGGACAGGTATTATCCTAGCAATTGGTGAGTTTTTTTCACCAGAGCCCAATTAAATAGCTAACTATGTGTCTTCAGTTTTGTCTTGACATCTTCCAGAGGTGAGAGAACACAGTGAGCATAACCCCCAGAATTATGAGGATGATGGTACGGATGTAGTATAAAACCCAGAGAGGAAGGTACTTACAATGGAGGAAGTCTGGCTTTGGAGCCGACACCATCAGCCTCCTTATGTTTTACATTGTCCAGGTACATTGTCAAACGTCCAGTCACTCCACCGCCTTCAAGATTCTTCTGACCGTTCCAGGTGACCACCAGGTGGTGCCACAGTCCATCCATTAGGTCGTTACCGATGGCCTGGACAGAGATGCTGTCACTAACCTGAGCAAGGATTGACCGACTTCTGACGAGGAACTGGCTGACAGCTGAGTGTCTACTGCCTGTTCTGTAATAACATATATACATTTAATAGCTTTTTTTAATAGTTTTGTAAAAGGATGGTTAAAACAAAATATACAACTGACAAAATGTTCCATTAGTTTCACCCCAATACCGATAATTGGACTCTGTCTGTTATATTTTGAAAAGGGTATATGCACCAGTCATTTTTAAAGCAAGTGCCAATCCGGTCCTGGTACTGAGTACCGGTATCCAACCGGACTGGTGTATAAAATGGTCTGGATTTGGTATTCAGTCACTGTGCTGTGTTATTATAGTAGGCACTATATGGGAGTTGTTAGAAATACTGACCCATAACAAGCCAAACACCTGTATAACCTCTAGAATACATGTATGCATTGAAAATACTGAGGTAGTATAGGATTTCGTTTGATAGTGGTCTACTCCACTACCTAATTACTTTGTGGCATCCCACTCATGAAGCGTGGCACATTTGATAAAACAATATATATATTGTATACAAAATGATTTTGTAGAGTCTTATTTTCAAGTTTACATAAAAACAGAATTTGGGTAGTGATGGCTATATATAGACAACATTCGAAGGAAGGTTAAACAGCAATATTCATTATAGCTTACATGTTTCGGCACACTTAAGGTATGCCATCATCAGAACAGTACAACATTTCATAATAGTGACCTGAAGTAAGAAAAGCGGTGCCTATGCCTGGAAACACAGTCACATTACAATTTTTTATTAAATTTTCTGGGCCAAGATTGTTTGGTACGTACATTGTACTGAAGCACTATATAACAAGAAACATTCATCATCATAATAAACAATCAACTTTATTGTAAAGCAGACACCACAAGAACAACACTGCCGTGAAGATTTCTGATCAAGTATTTCAACAGAATTCTGTAGAGGCTCTTGGCCCGTATTTATGACACCGTTCCCATGCTCAAGCTTGGATTTTGTGCTCAAGCGTAATTTCTTTTTCTGGTTATGAATTGATAAACAAATCTTATTTTGTCAATGATTTGGAAGCAAATTGAAGAGACTTAAAACCAAATACTTTTTTCAATGTTTACATTTACTTTTTGATCGTTTGACATGTATGGTTTGAACACAGAATCCATGCTTGAGTATGAGAACAGTTTCATGAACACAGGCCCCGAACTATATGGATGCAGGCTTTATGAACTAAAAGCAATTTATACCATAATCATTCTTTATTAACCGTCCTTTTTCTCAATCTATTTACAATTCACCATGAGTTCCATACGTAGTCCCTTACCGTAATCCATAAATGGAGACAATGTTTTTGTCGGCCCCCGAACCATCAGCAGACGCAAATCGGAACCACAATGACACTGACAGTGAGGTTGAGTTCAAAGTAAAGAGGGCGTTCCTGTCCACCATTTCACCTTGCATACGCACGGATGGGGTTTGAAGGACAATATCAAAGTCATAATGGATTTCTGCAAAAAAGATTTCATAAAAATTACTGCTTTATCAAATTTGAATTTAGTGAAATGATATCAAATCATTCAAATCTATAGGTTCAAGAGATATTCACCAATTAGAAGAATATAAATTCATTTCTCTAATCAAGAGTGAAGACTGATTTAACTAGAACACTGACAATAAGCAATGACCCTGCAAAGTGCCTGACTGTATATATTTCTCCAATAATCACGGAGCAGACACCACAGCGATCATTTTGCAAAATCTTTGAAATGGTCAATTTTTAAAACCCTATTGCACATCAACATAACAACATGCATCACCATGTCAAATTTCAAAACAGGTAAAACATCTGGATTCCAAGATAATCTCTGAATGGACAGACAGCTTGACACGGTGATAACGGCAACTAGATATTGGATGTGGGGGCTATACACGTTTCGGCTAAACTCAATATTGAAAAGTTAGTAGACATATTTTAATTATGAAAGGAACTTGATGGTAATGTTTCATGTGATGAAGAGCTGTACCTTTCTGACAGTTGATGCCAAGTTTACCCTCAGGACAGTAACACCTGTAGGCGTTGATCTTGTCCTCACAGAGGGTGCCACTAGGACATGGATTACTGGCACACTCATCTACATTGACCTCACACTTCTCCCCAGCGAATCCTGTAGAAACGAAATGATAGAAATTACATCAGAACACAAAAATATTTCCCTGAAAAGAATGAGTTACATATGAATTAAAATAAAATTGTGAAAATAATAAATATCTTTTGAATAAGTTCATTAACAGAAGAAGAAAAAAATTACTTTAAAATATCTTATCGGAAATACAGCTCTCAATCTAAGGTAATTATTAGCCAAATGGCCATGTCATGACTTAAGGTATTTTGGTTCTTTAAAGACGTTTAAGGATCTAGAAAATGTCTGCAAGACAAGGGTGCCCCTTTAAATGCCCTGTTGCCCCTGAAGGTGGTTAACTGATTACAATGAATCTGATGACAACATAGCAAAATCCCCCCCCCTAAATGTAGTCTGAATTATTCTGGAGTTTTATCGACTTTTTTATTTATCGGTCTGTCGTCGATTAACGTCAGAACTCCGGCCCTCTATAATATGCGGGAAATATGCGACCTGCGCCCGGGTCACACTTCAAACTGATATTTTAGAAACAAATCGTCACTTTCACACACATGTCACACATGGATCGAAATACCTATTCTTTATGCACTAGGTGGTATCAATAACATGTTTCAAAGATCATTACGAACAGTATTTTCCAACGTTTTCTATACCAACCCATGTTTTTAATGGAAATTAGGGCATGAGCAATGTCACATGACTTGACAAGATCTCGCGTTACCGAAGGTATTTCCCAAAGTTATGACGTAGGCCGGCGAGATTTGTCACGTGGCATTAGAAGGTGGAGCTATCAAAAAACTAGAGTAAAACAGAGTAAGTTTGAACAAATATGTTTTTAGTGAATGTATTGGATGTTTGAGGCATGTAATTTATGTTCATCTTATGCATAAAGAATATATTTTTTCGATCCATGTGCGACATGTGTGTGAAAGTGACGATTTGTTTCTAAAATATCAGTTTGAAGTGCGACACGGGTGCGGGTCGCTTATTTCCCGCATATTATAGAGGGACGCAGTTCTGATGTTAATCGACGACAGAGCGATATAAAAAAAAGTCGATAAGACATCAGAATAATTCTGACTACCCTAAATTGTGAAGGAATAAAAAGATGAAGGACCAAACACTGTTCTATGACCAGTCGTGCCAGACGAGTTAAAACTCAGGGTCTTACCTGGAGGACAGGTACACCGAGTCTGTTTGTTGACCACAGAGCATGTCCCTCCGTTGTCACACGAAGCCACATCACAGCGGACCCTTGGTGTAGTACATCCTGTTCCTGTGTAGTCTGAAACAGATTTTACATCACATTCAAAATTCTTCCAAAATCGATTTTTCATTCAACAATATCACATTTATAATATTTCACCTTTCTTAGACGAAACAGTGTGGGAAATTGAATGAGAATTTCAAGTGTAGTGACAATCCCTCCTTATTATTATTATTATTATATTGCTGCAGAAAAAACTTCCATTGAAAGAACAGCTGTAAAACCGAAATAGCAAAAACACCGTCCTTTTTAGATTAAGTATATTTTACTATACCTGTGAATGGCTTGACAATAAGGGTAGCCTGCTAGTCTGACACTACAGAAATCTCCAGCTGGACTAGTGGTTCCAAAAACTACTAGCCTGATTGAATAGTCAGTATCTGGTATAACTCATCATGTTGAATATTATTGGGATAGAGGAATTTGCATACGGACTAAAAAAGTCAGAAACTACTAGCTCGACAGACTAGTGGTTTTTAAATCAACTTCTAGCACTCACTGTATAAATAGTTTTTTTCTGTTATAATTAATTTTAAGTTATCACCATTTTTTTGGGGAGCCTTTTTTGTAAAACAATTAGATGTGTCTCATTAATATTGAGAAAATGTTTGTTTTTTTTCTAAAACCAAATAATGGCATGTAGTTGTGTTTTCACTTTGGGAGTTCAGATTTGACGAATTTTGAAAGAGTTAGTGCCCATTTTTTTTTTACACTTTCAATTTAGTTAAGAGACCTCTTCACACTTTGCCCCAATTTTTTGATAGTTTGTAGGCTTTATCGTGATAATATGAAGCTCGCATTCTAAGATTGAACTTGGATTGAGACATTTTTTAGGCAGACTTATTGACCCTTGTGAAACGACGGGCTAAAAATTGAATGTATAGAACCAGACCTGTCGAACATCCACAGGCGACATTGCCCCCAGCATCAACAGAGCAGGTGCTGTCAGGTCCTACACAGTGGTCAGCAAGGACACAGAGGTCATAGGTCACATCACAGAATTTCCCGATAAAGTTGTAAGGACACCTGTAGATCGTTCAAAACAATTTGCTTACATTTCTGCGTTGATACTGCATTTTTTTTAAATAATTTGAAGAAAATGGAAGTTCAAATTCATTTGAAAATATGCTTGGAAAATTTCTCCTAAAATCTACTTATCTTTATAAAGTAGGTGTGTCGATTGATCATAGCTCTGGAGTGCATCACAGTGTATTGCAATACAGAGTGAATATATTATAATTTCTATCACCATATATTGCCACAGGAAAAAGTGTTATTTTTTTCCTAAAATGGTGCTAATTTTGGGAAGAATGTGTGGTCTGTCCCATAGATCATATGGACCATACAGAGTTAAGATGCTCCTTGAACTGATCATTGATATTGAAATTTTAACTGATTCCTACCACCAGATATGTGATAGCCTGTTGCATAGTTTGAAGCATATCTGTTAAACAATGTAGTAAATATGCAAACTTTAAACACCAAACAAATACCTAACAAAAGGCCAAACTGTCCTATGTAGCTCACATGTTATTGATCTCAAATCTGTCACCTTCAAAAAGAGTATAGGTCAAAATAATTTGAACCCTTTAACCAATGTAGACTCATCCAGATCAATGCTTGGTAACGTTTATCATGCTTGGTAACGTTTTATCAAAGTTACATAGGAGTGTATCATTACTATGAACATTACAACTCCATGTTGAAAGATTTCATCACTGGTTGTTCTCTACAACTTAATAAACTTTGTTAGTAGACCTAAAACCCTTTTTAATAATCTGACCTCCAATATTGGTCATTCATCCAGATACCACATTTCATTAAGCTGCAGCAATTTTTTTTTTTATGACGCTAGGTCTTTTGGTTATTCAGAAATTTCTTATACAAATGTACTACATTTGACCCCTGTGACTTTCAATATAGGTGAAGGCCATCCATATGAACAAACTTGATTGCCCCAGAAAACATATTTAATGACACTTGCACACAGATGTAGTCTGTGACCTTGAACAAATTAGGTGAAGGTCATCCATATGAACAAACCTGATAGCCCCAGAAGTCATAATGACACTCACACACAGATGTAGTCTGTGACCTTGAACATAGGTGAAGGTCATCAACATGAACAAACCTGATAGCCCCAGAAGTCATAATGACACTTACACACACATGTAGTCTGTGGCCTTGAACATAGGTGAAGGTCATCAATATGAACAAACCTGATCGCCCCAGAAGTCATAATGACACTTACACACACATGTAGTCTGTGACCTGATTGTAACATGTGGCAGCGTTCTGACACGGGTTGTTGTCACACTTGTCCCGCTCCAGCTCACAGTTCACACCTGTCAGGTGAGTAGCACAATTACAGGTGTATGACACGCCCACAGGTGTACAGATACCTCCGTGGTGACAAGGATTGCTGTCACACGCATTGCCATTCTACAAATCCAAGAACTTTCATAAAATAACTGTCTTTCATTGTCCTGCAACAAGCCTATGCCTGGTAATAAGCCCACCCATGTTAAATACAGCTCGGGATAGAAAGGCTAACAAATGCTTTTTCACTGTCCTGCAATAAACCCACCCCTTACTTTCAGTCAGAACTTAATTATTGGCAACCTTAGCTTATTGCAGGGTAAATATATTGATTCCTCCTGAAATTGGTGCAAAACATCAATGATAGAAAATTATATCTAAAATCATTTTATTTGGATATTATGACCAGTTAATAATTGATTTGATAATAAATAATAATAATTTGAGATTCTTATACCAATTTATCACAACCTAGTTGGTTGGTCATCTCAAAGCGATTCACAAATTATTATCCATGGTTATAAAACTAAAATCTGAAGATTCCTAAATTTTGCCATCTGGCCAATAAGTGAACGTGATGAAGTGACCAAATGCACAATTTACGTCACACGTTTTTCTGGGAATACTTACGGAACATGTTTCCCCATAGAAGTTGTCTTTACACTGACAGTAAAAGTCGTTAGCGAGATTGTAGCACTGATCTGTTCTCTCAGCATCACAGGGGCTCGACGCACATTCATCAACATCGTCACAGTTTTTACCTATGGACATAAATCCAGATAGTTTCAATAACCAAAAATTTGAGACTGAACTTAATCAGATCATTTTTGGCTTGACTTATTTGAGAAAAGGATTTGAAATCATCATGCTGACTGGTACATCAAATTCTGACGGAAAGAATCCTACTACAGTTTTTTAGAAGACAAATCGTTATCCTGAATTATACGCAACAAATTAAAGTTCCTTCATCTTTATTACTTGCACAATCAAGAAATTTACAGGTTTGTATATATAGGATCTAACATGAGTTTCCATTTCATACGAGATTTATGAAATGAGTCTTAAGAATTTTCAATTAAGCGAGCTAAAATGAAAAATTTGTGACGAGTTACATAATTTCATATGAAATGAAAACGTTTGTAAAAACCTTTTTATCACAAAAAAATAATGAAGATTTGTGGCATTCATTTGTGTAAAACGTCAATTTTCATGCAACCTGAAAATGTAACAAGGTTACCGCGAGCGGTATATAATACGCCCGTCACACATTGAATGAGCAGTTGTTTGTATGATTGAAATATATGAAGTATTTGTGAGTAATTGATATTAAAAGAGAAATCATTCAACATAACTGGTAGATCAATGAGTGCAATACAACATCATGGAACGCATGCATCGCATTAATGAAACCAAGGGTAATAACTCCAGTAATTACGGTCGGATAATGGCGGTTATCAAACTTGTCCGTGGTTTCATGGTAATTAACCTTGTTGTGAAGTTTGAAGTTAATCCGTTAATAATTACTCGAGATATCGAGCGGACACTGTTTCGGCAAGTCCATAAAGGGGCATAACTCCACAAATTATGGTCGGATAATGGCGGTTATCGAACTTGTCCGAGGTTTCATGGTAATTAACCTTGTTGTGAAGTTTGAAGTTAATCCGTTAATAATTACTCGAGATATCGAGCGGACATCGTTTGCCCGCCCGCCCGCCCGCGTGATAACATAATATGTGCCCGTCTTCAACGGGCGTATAAAAAGCCGCTATTTTGAGTCCATATCGCAAGTCTGTGATGTCATGTACTTGTCCTAGGCATGACATCACAATTGAAACAATTGAGAAACTTACAACCAATCACAGGGCTGATAGGTCATATTACATGGGTTTAATATCCCCAAAAAATATGACATGGGTATATTCAATGGATAACACAGTACATTATGTGATAAATATATATACGATGCAATATACACCCTTATTCTCTATGTCTCTAAATCTTCTATTGTTGCTGAGTTTGAGCATCAATAAACTGCAACTAAAAACAATGCAGGTCAAAATTATGACCAACACCTACAGTAAAATCTCTCGTTTCATTTGCCACCTCACTTACCGCCAACATATTTCAAGGTTTCCTTCTCTCTTTTCCTTAAGAATTCTATTCTATATTTCCCTCGATCTAATACCAAACTCCTTTATAATGCCAACATATCTCTTGCCAAATGGTGGCAGTATAACAAGATTTTACTGTAGTTGAAAATGAAAATGAAAACTAAATAACCATGTTTTTTATACTATTGAATTAAATAAGTTACCTATTGTGCCCGTAGGACAAGAACACTTGTAGTCGTTGATGCCGACCTCCATACAAGTTCCTCCATTCTTACATGGGAGTCGCAGGCACTCGTTGTAGTCATAGCGACAGTTGAGTCCCCCGTAACCAGGGACGCAGGCACACTTGTACTGGCCTACACCGTTGTAACATGTTCCTCCGTTCTGACAAGGTGACACCGTACAGTAGTTGTTCTGTCGACAAATACCTTTCCCATCTGTGTCAAGGGAACAGAACAATTTGATTAAATTAAACATATATATAGATACTTTAGATAGGAGGCATGGTAGTCTAGTGGTAGGACACCAGGCTCGTGATCGGAGGGTTGCGGGTTTGAGTCACGTCACGGCACTGTGTTTTATCTTTGAACAAGATACTTGATTCTGCTTGTTCCAGTCTACTCAGCTGTAAATGAGTACATGGTTGCCCAGAGCTAGAATTGCTGAATGCTAGCTGTGAGCGCCAAAATGGCAGCACCAGCTATATGCTCCCCTCGGAGATGAGAAAGATATTGGCTGGTTGCAAAAGCCCTATAACCATGGATAATAATTTGTGAACTGCTTTGAGACAACCTACAAACTAAGTTGTGATAAAGCAGTATATAAGAACCTCGAATTATTGATTATTATTTATATCATTACTTGATGTTTAATACCTCTGTGAAAAAGACACCCAGATCAATAAANAATTAATAAGCCGCTCGGCTCTCGCCAAGAGCGGCTTAAAAATTGATTTGAAAAATATTTGTACCTTCTGTATAATGGTCTGTACAGGAACAAACGTAGCTTTCGTTGACATATAATGGACGACAAAGATTGCGGTCACCACAAGTCCCTATCGTACACACAGACTGCTGATTCCAGTTCTGGCAATAGTCCCCTGTATAACCTGGGGCACAACTACAGGTGAAGGTCGTCGGGGTCAAAACATCACAGGTCCCTCCATTAATGCATGGTGAAGAATCACAGTTATCTGTGCGAGACAAAATACGATTATTGACGCAGGTTTAGGGTCACAGACGTTTAGTTAACCCTATTGCCCAAACTGTCTCCAGAGGCTGAATCCCAGTCTGACAGCAACAAGTTTGTTCAACACCTAGTTTAACTCATTTACCTCAACATTTTTAAACTGGACTTGCCTTAAGTCTTTGATTTGGTAAGGCTCAAATGTGACTTCAGGAGTGAATGCGTTAATAAACTGGTCCAGGAAAATATCCCATAAGAAGACAGAAGTTAGCATTTCTAACAGGTAAGTAGATATTTATACAGAGTATCTTGTATTCCTTGTAGCTGTAAAACTACTGAGGGATGACCATGACTATTTTGTATTTTGTTTCAATTTGCAGTAATTTTTATTTTTCATTTTGAACATTTCATGAATATTCACTGATAAACATCAATTTATACCATTTAACCCATGCTGAAATTGTCATTTTCAGTCAACCTATTTTTCCACAAACAGAGAAAAATATTGAAGAACCTTTTCAGCGAGCAAGAAAATAGAACTTTTGAATTTCAAGTAGCTTACAAGGACATGCCCAACAAATTCTTATTTTTGTAATTCTGAGAAACTTACAAGGACATCACCCATTGGACAATTATTTTTTAATTATAAGTTACTTACAAGGATTATGAGAAGTTCTTTTTACACAACCCATAAAAAAATTCTATGTGACGTTTCGATGACTTAAATACGATATGTACACTGTCACCTTCATCAGACAAATGACCAATGAAGCGTATGCACACAAAGATGTAAAATGTGTACACATGTTAACCATGTGATTGACTGGGATAACTCCAAAGTTTTGGACAGAGAGAGCAATCTGTTCAAGCGGCAGATAAAGGAAGTCATCTGGATACACCGCAGTGGGCCAGTTCTAAATCAAGACGGGGCTCAAAGACTCTCGCACATCTATGACCAAGTGTTAACAAAGCGTAGCTGGATTGAGTCATTTTGGTGCATATACAACAACTATTGTACAGATTCCATTTCCAGCGTAGCCGAAATCGACATCGATTTTATGGACAACTCATACACATTTTACACCTTTGTGTTCATACGCTTCATTGGTCATTTGCCTGATGAAGGTGACAGTGTACATATCGTATTTAAGTCATCGAAACGTCACATAGAAAATTGTATTGGTTGTGTAAAAAGAACTTCTCATAATCCATACTTACAAGGATATTGTTCAATGAACAATTATTTTTGAATTATAAGTAACATACAAGCACATCGTCCAACGAGTGAGTATCGTTTGAGGGCTGGTAGGTAGGAACAATAACTCTTCTGTGTCGTGGGAGACCCGTCAGGCAGCGTACAAGACAGTACGTAGTAATCTCCATATTTCACCTTGGTGTTTGATGAACCTGGGTCAATAGTGTTCGAATCACAGGTCACCTCTGTAAAATGTCAAAAGTTCAAATCAGTAATTAACATACATGTAATGACTTTGGAACACAATTTAGGGAGATTGGTGTTTTGAAGGACTAATATGTTTCATTTTTAAGTAGAGGAATTTAAATGGCTTCACATCATTAAGCCATTTCATTATCAACAACATTGATATCATGTACATTTTCAATGACTCCACTCAAGAATCAAAAACTTAGCAAAATAATGTGGAAGTATTACAATAAGTTAAGATCTGACACATCTATAACCAAAAACAATACCAATATCATTACCCAGCAAATATATGACAATACTTAAAAAATAAAATCAATCAAGAAAAGAAAAAAAAAGCAGACAATCATTTTGAATATTCTGAAACTACAGTTTTGTCTTCAAGTTTCTTCAAACATTTATAACATATTTTTAGCTTCATTTTTATTTTATTTTTTTTAGCTTTCAGTGATTTAGCATTACCATTGGTATGATGTTTTAAATTAAACAGCATATTCACAAGGACGTATATGACATACTGTAACAAACTCTGAAAACATAATTCGTAAATCAAATTGACAAAAAAAATCATGTTAATAAAATACAGCTGGATTCAGATATGGAGTTTAAACACCTGAAATGAGATGACCTAGTTTTTAATCTGACCTTGACATTCCAGTACAGGTGTTCTTCAGGTAGAGGGTGAAAACAAATATTTCAACCAAATTGAAGAAACAAATGTAAATCTCGTGGTGCTAAAATAGGAAAATATATAATTCGTATCTGGGGACAACCACCTGAAAAGTGATGACCTAGTTTTTTAACTGACTTTCACATTCAAGTACATGTGTTCTCCAGGTAGAGGGAGAAATATGTAATTTTTCAACCAAATTGAAGAATAAATCTAAATCTCATGGTGCTACAATATGTTAATTTATAATTAATACCAGGAAAATATATAATTCGTATCTTGGGACAACCACCTGAAATGTGATGACCTAGTTTTTCAATCTGACCTTGACATTCAGGGACAGGTGTACTCCAGGTAGAGTCGGCCTGACAGGTCCTCGTGTGGGTTGGGGACAGCATGCCCTTGACAGTGTACCCAATGTCACATAAATAGGTCAGAGTGTCCTTATACAGGAAAATTGTCTTCAGGGTCAGCGCTCGCCCATTCCTGTCCGTCGTACGGTACTCTGACAATGGCAGTGGACATTGGGTTCCTGGGGATAAAAACACAATTGTTCAAAAAGACCATCAAAACTGTCTTCAGGGTCAGTGCTAGCCCATTCCTGTCCGTCGTACGGTACTCCGATGATGGCAGTGGACATTGGCTTCCTGGGGATAAAAACACAATTGTTCAACAAGACCATCAAAACTGTCTTCAGGGTCAGCACTAGCCCATTCCTGTCCGTCGTACGGTACTCCGATGATGGCAGTGGACATTGGGGTCCTGGGGATAAAAACACAATTGTTCAACAAGACCATCAAAATTGTCTTCAGGGTCAGCGCTAGCCCATTCCTGTCCGTCGTACGGTACTCCGATGATGGCAGTGGACATTGGGTTCCTGGGGATAAAAACACAATTGTTCAACAACACAATCAAAACTGTCTTCAGGGTCAGCGCTCGGCCATTCCTGTCAGGTGTTAGATACTGGCAATGGGCATTGGGTTAATGGGTTCTGAGTTCAGGTTAACACAGGGTCAGCGCCTGGCCATTACTGTCAGGTGTTAGGTACTGGCAATGGGCATTGGGTTAATGGGTTCTGAGTTCATGTTAACACAGGGTCAGCGCTTGGCCATTACTGTCAGGTGTTAGGTACTGGCAATGGGCATTGGGTTAACGGGTTCTGAATTCAGGTTAAAAAGATTATACTGTATTTCAATTTTTTATCATCTCTAATTTTTTTTTTTTTTTGATAAATTCAATTTTGAAACCTTTTGAAAGGAAAATGTCCACGAAATTATGTAGCCAAGTTGGATTAATTTCTTTTCACTTTGTACTTACGAACACAAGTGTGATTTGTGTAGTAAGAGTTCCAGGGATCAAGGCCAGTCTCCCCAGCCAATAGCTCCACTTGCTGGAGCTGTCCCACTCCAGGCCCCGGATAGAGGGTTCCTCCCGTCAGGCAGCGACAGTAGTAGGACCCCAGGGTGTTCTGACAATCCATCTGGCAGTAAGCGTTGTCTTCTAGGCATTCATTGATGTCTGTAAACAGTTCAGTTAGTAGATACAACAGTGGATTAAAGACAAATATTCCGACATTTTCTTTTTTTAACCCTTTCACCACCCTAAACCATAATAGACTCATCAATAAAAGTACATGGTAGAGTCTATTAAAGTTACATAGGGGTGAAACAGATAAGGGAGATACTGTTTGCGGGGAAATTTTCGCCCCAGTTTAATTTTTCGCCTGATGTCATGAGGATGAATTTAACACACATTCTGTACACCGGGAAATATTCGCCGCATTTTCATTTTTGCCATTTTCGCCTTCCATAATCAGGGCAATGGAAGGTGAATTTATCATCACAGCAAACATCAGTAAGAAACAGAATTTAACATGGTTATCGAATGTGAAGGGCGAAAATAACACTGAGCGAATATTGATTTTACCGTTGTAGGGTGAAAGTTTCATATGACATATGACATTAATAAAATACCAAAGCATAATTGTAACTTAATACTCTGTTGAGACATTTGGAAGGTTTACATTATAAAAACTTTTTTTTAAGCTATCAGGGAAGCTGTCACCTCAAGTTGATTTTGTGAGGGAAAGGATTGGAGGAAGTAGTTTACAGTATTGCCTTACCCTCACAGATATTTGGGTCTGTGGTTGAAGGTTTAAACCCCGACGGACAGGTACACACATAACTTCCTATGTTGTCAGTACAAATCTGTGTAGGATCACACGGGGCTGACGTCGTACACTCGTCTATATCTACAACACAAACCAAACTTACAGGTTTTCTAACCCATGTGAAGAGATTCCTTTACTTCCTCACTTAAGGATCCTCATACCACCGCTAGTAGCTAAGGAGTTGGAAACTGTTATTTAATCATCAATAAACCAGTCCTGAAAAGAAAACCACTGTAGACCATAATGGACTCATCCAGATCAATGCATGGTAGAGTCTACTAGAGTTACATAGGGGTGAAAGGGTTAAATCCCTTGGGTAAACCATACCTTTCAGGACTTTTGTGAAAAATATTAAAGATGAAATAAACAAAATACAATCATAAAGAGTGTTCTGAAAATATTCTCGGGGCTATGTGTGTCATTAAAATATATAGTATCAACTATCATCACAATGTGCAAAGTCATTTCTCACTTTAAAGTTATCCGAAAATTAAGCCATAGGCTTATTACAGGGAATGATGAAACCCTATAGCAGTTTTATAAATATATGATATCAAAACCTAGCGAATTAGGAAAAGTTTTGGAAGACTTACTATCACAAGATGGAGGACTGTCCACTCCACACCTGTAGGGGTCAGCGCCGGTCAGGGAGAATCCAGACTTACAGGTAACGATGACCGTGTCACCAACATACACCACGTCGTCAATGGTAACACTCAAGGTGGCGTTGGCGATCACCTGTTTTCCGCACCTCCTCTCTGTACAACACAAATCACAACACTTTACATACGGATACACATTTTAATGTGATCAAGAGGCTGTATGGGCCTGCATTGCTCACCTGGTATTAATTTCATACTTGTTACCTTAAAAGTGGACTGAAATAAGGCAAAATACCCCAACAAGAGTATCGCGGGGCGGAACAATATACGCCCATTAAATGCCATATAGTGTTATATACTTTCTTACATTGAAATAAGCTCTGCATCATTCTAAGAGTGGTTAGCTGACATGCTATAAAATCAAATACTGAAATGAACAAAGGGCAATAACTTTTGTAAAAATTGTTGAATTAAAATTCTTTTAAGTGAGACACAACTTCATATCATGATTATAATGTATACTAAGTTACAAAGAGATCGGTCGAAAAATGTAGGAGGAGATTGCCAGACTAACAAAAGTTTACGCCAGACGGACGGACGACGCCATACCATAATACTCCCGTCAAATTTCCAAATCACGTATGGAAACTGGCTGTAAATATGCATTTTTCTCCTCATTTCTTCATCACTTCAAGCCACATCTGAGAGAAAACTACCGTTTCTCAAAAAGTAACTTGTTGAAATTTCAACTTCATAAGTAACACTCCAATTAAAGTATTTCAAATTAGTTCAAATAAGCCGAAATAAATAAATCAATTTCACAGCAGACAACAATAGAAGAATACTTACTCAGACACTCTGGGAGGTTTGTCGACCATACACCATTCTGACATGTGACCAGGGATTGACCAATCAGCTCATAATAGTTTATACAGGAAAATTTGAGTATTGTCCGATGTTCTGTACCATCACCATACACAACCTCTATGCGACCATTAGACACAGCTTGTAGGGCAGGGCATGCAGTTGCTAAAAAGATAAAATTCAATTATTTTTTTAATATATTTTCAACTAATCGAAGTATAAATACCACATGTTAACTACAGTGATTTGCTTTTTTATGGTTTAACAGACAGCAATAAAATATGGTTATATATTTAGGGCCATTTAGTGTTGTGTCGATTAATCGATTTAGTCGACGTCTGGTTGTTTGTTTCTGAAAATCGATTAATCGATCCTTGTTTTCCATGATCGATTATAGTTTGACTAATTGAAGTATTAACAAAAAATAAACTTGGATACTGTTATTACCACCGACAGCGAGTTGTTTGTTCTTGGGCAAAACAACTTCGCAAAACGACGACGCTGATTGGCTAGCTGGTTAACCCGACAACCAGGGGTTATCCTCACTTTTGCACCCCTGGAATGTGTCATAGCACAATTGAAGGCTCGGTGTGCCACCTTGTGGAGAAGATTAGTTTGATCCTTTGACGTACATCAAAAGAATTTGTTGACTGGCTTTGAAACCGGGTGTCGCTCCTCTGTAATCTTCAAATGACAGGTACCAGACTAGCGATTGGTCTGGGTGGTTTTTTTAACCTAGACCAATTAAATAGCTAGCTGCTTGCCTTCTACTATATTCCACAGGTGTGCAAAGAGCGAAAGTGAACCCTATTTTGCTATGACATATTCCAGGGGTGCAGAGAACATAAGTGAACCTAACTCCTGGAGTATCGAGGAACTGAACTTGTATTAAAAGACCACAGTAATCTGCAAATAAAGCCCACTTAATGGACCTTCCGAAAGGTGGTCCCTGAATATTGATGTGACAGTATATATAATTGTGATTTATAACACACAGTGGTTACAGTAATTAAGACACAGGGATGTAGTTACCCAGACATGATGGTCTAGTCCCCCACTTCCCGTCCGCTCCACATATCACATTGACGTTCCTGTCGGCCGTGTAACCGGCCCAACACCTGTAAACAACCGTGTCCCCTCCCATTACACCACTGGCCGACTCCACGGACCCAAACGTGATCTGGTGGACTGGTCCGCAGTATGACACTGTAAAAACAGACAACAATTGCATTGGGTTTTTTAACAATTGCTCTACATAATCTCAATATATAAACCTCCAAAAGTCTCAATACTTTGTTAGACTGTTTGAGTGGTTTTACCTCAGCTTTGGTAGTTAAGTGGATGTAAAAACTGCTTTAACAAACCAACATCAACCGAAAGTACCTATTATGATTGCTTAAGTTCCAAAACTTCACTGAAATCCTGTATTAATGATATTTGTAAACAAACTTTGGACATACTTGATTGCCAAATTAATGAAATAGTGGACACATAAACTGCATTTAGTTTTTAGTCACATTGTCCTTGATCTCTGACAAAATTGATAGGGGTTCTCTTCTTCCTTTGGGTACCTACCATACAAAGTTTGAGATGTATGTGAAATCATTCATTCTAACGTTAGCGTCCAAACGAGAAATGTAAATGGACGACCAGACAGACATCTAGCTTATCCCCAGAAATATTTAGAACAGGGAGTGCGATAAAAAAAGAACTCACATTTACACATAGGTACATCTTTATCAAAGGAACCGCCCTCCTGACAGGTGAGAGTGTCAGACTCCGCCCCTAGATACGGCGACAGGAAGTAATGTCCGGTCCGACAGGTCACTATGAGCCGGTCATCTATACGGATTTTGCTGGACTTTGGACTGACAACCACAGTGTCGGTGGTCAGGTCTGCACAACCTTAAATACAAAATACCAAAGCTAATAAGCATAAACTTTTGGGATTGTCCCCTGTATTTTTTGTACATACAGTAACCTCCCCTTAATTTTGTTACAGGTGTAACTGTAGAGCAAGAGGGCTAGGTTACTAAGTTGTTGACCATCTTGGGTACGTACTCATGAAACTGTTGTTATGCTCAAGCATTGATTTTGTGCGCAAGCGTAATTTCCTAGTCTAGTTATAAATTGATAATCAAATATATTTTTTTTCAATGATTTGGAAAAATATTCAAGAGATTTATATATATTTCTTTTCCAATATTTACATTTGACCTTTTGATAATTTTACATGATTGAATGAGTTACAAGAATGTTGGTTTGAGCACAGAATCCATGCTTGAGCATGAGAACCATTTCATGAATACGGGCCCTGATTTGGTTCTCCGACTAACTTTCTTGTAAGTTGCCTGAATTCTGTAGTACTGCCAAAAGGTCAAGTGTAAACATTGACAACAGTATTCTGCTTTAAGTCTCTCCCAAATTCTTCGAAATCAAAGACAAGATGTGAAGTTATTGTTTTTAAAGTTTGAGCATGAGAACAGTTTGATGAATGCTGGCCCAGCTGGTAGCTCAGTTGTTTAGAGTGATAGTGTACTGATGGTAAGCACTCAGGGTCCGAATCCTTTCCATTTTGTCATTCATCAGGCACCATTCTTGATTTTGGCCTCTTTTTTTTTAAAACATAAAAGTTTGACTGGGTAAGGATTTCTTTTCAGAAATTATTCATCAAAGCTACTGTAGTGCCTGTAAAAAAGTTTTGAATTCTCTAACATTTTTGGCAATGCTACAGATATCATTTAATCAAAATGTATGGTGGTATTATACGATATAACGTCAAAAACGTAACCTGCAACTTAAAGCTGTTTTTGTACCTGAAGAAAACATGGCTGTAAAACCTTTATCCTGTCCGTAAGCTCCGGTAGTAAACGTCATCAATATGGCATCACCATCAGCCGTTACTATTGTACCTGTAGCAGCGCCACTCAGACCGCCATTGTTGTGTAAGGGAGTGTCCTGATTGGTCGAGCCATTATACAGCTGTAAGTACACATATATGTAGAATCATTTAAATGAAATTTTATTTCACCTAGAGCCACTCACCTGATAAACAAACCTCACCTTATCTATAATTAGGTTGCTGCCTATCATTAAGGAATCATATGAAAACCAGGTTACCACTGAGCGTTCTAATTTATTTGAGATGTAACATGGCATATGATAATGGTCAATAAAAATACTTTGTGACGGTATTACCATGATATACCGTCGCACATTTCTCATTTGCATACAAAGCCCAAATGGCGATTGTTAGTGATGTCGATGACCCTGACCTACCCTGACACATCATGCAATTGATAAATTATGACATTACAGACAATAGCATGACCTCAAAAGGTCGATGTAATTCTGCTTCACTTTGGATATTTCTGACCTAACCAATTCATGGCAGAGAGACCTCAATTTTGAAGAAAACACTCAAAAATATCTTAAAACTGTCTTTTTTTGGGGTTGTTTTAGCTTATATGAATTAGAATGGGGAAAGTCCTCTTTTTTTTTTAAAGATTTGCAGCTGTATATCGTGATTATACTGTACGCATATATCTGTTTTACTGGCACCACAAAACTCAAAATACAGAAGGGTTATATCCCCTTATTACTAACTTAACCAAATGTTTTAATCTAAGGGATTATATTGCTTGGATATGGTTATACCCTTAATGATTTTTTCCAATGTTGCTGAAGTAAATATTTATATGAACTCATTTTAAGAACACTCATACTCGGACTATAAACTTTGTATAAACTTTGATGAAAATCTGTTGAGTGAAGTTGGTCATGACAGGACAGAACACTGAGACAGAACAGACATAGGTAACATAATAGGCCCCGTCAATACATTTGGAGCCCTGGAGTACAGGAGCACTGGAGCACAAAAAGATATTTATATATGTCTTTCCTATCAAAACCTATCCAGAATTTCTGGCTGATGTTGTTGGCACTACAAAATAACAATACCTTGACATAGTCCTTGTAGGCTTGTGTGTGGAAGTCTGTGAACTTGATGCTGATTGGCCGTCCAGAGACTGAGCGAAACTTCCAGCTACACTCTAGCTGATTGGTGTATTTCTTCACACCATACCCAGGGGAAGTAACTCTTCCACTGTCAGCCAGGAGGTCAAAATCACAACCTGAACACATTTTGAAAAGCGGTTCAATGTATATGTGAAAGATCACCATATTAAAAGCAATTTCCTTGATTTCAAACGATTTCGTTTTCCCTTTTTTTTTCAAAATCTGAAAATTCAGCTGTATTGTAAAGTCTGATGTAATATTTATGAGAAAAAAACACACCTCTATAATAGATCATTTTTAAACTTCAGAATATGCTTTGATATTTTCCTTTATATGCAATTGCACAAATACCTCTTTATCAGGAGAAAAACACAGCTGTTTATAAAATGAAACACAAGCACTTGCCCATTATATATGTTAGAATGATTCCTCTGCATTCCAGGTGTTGGACAAGTCGCATGGATACCAGCATTCTGTTGCCTGTTGCCATGACAACAATGGGTCCATCACTGCTAGAGGTCAAGGTCAAAAGGTCATCAGACAAAGGGTCATCGCCATCTTTAAATTTGATGACATCAGCTCCACATAGGTCAATATCTTTTACCTGTGTAAAATAATCAGTAATCCATAATTTTTGCATTATAGAATATTTTCCTCTTATGGTTTACTTTGACAGAGGAAATGTGATATTAAGAGAAACATGATATTAAGAGAATATTTACGTGTAAGAGAAACATGAAATTATGGAAAATATGATATAAAGAGTAATATGATATCCTTAATAACATGATATAAAGAGATGTTGTATTAATATAAATGTGATATTATGAGAAGAACTGTTTTTCTGTTAACATTTAAGGATCACAATCACACATGATAGGAGGAACAATGAACAAAAAAAGAGAGTGAATATGAGAATGGGAAAGGATGGGGATAGGGGTAAAGATAAAATGAGAGGGAGTCCAAGGGTGGATACATGGAAGGAGAGAATAATTGAGGATGGATAGGGAGAAGGGGTGGGGTAGTGTCGAATGGAGTAAGTAACAGGGCATTTTAAAAGCTGTTACATACGAGGGAGATGGTTAACGAGGGAGTGGGAAAGGGAGGGCATGGGTGGCGATGGAGTGAAAGGAAGTTGGGAATGATTACATGGACGGAGAGAATAATGTAGGGTGGAGATATTGGAGATGTGTTTCAGGATGCAGTATAATTTAACATTGCTCTACAAACCTCCACTGTCACAATCTCCCTCCCTGGGGACTGTATAACCCAGTCTACATCCATGTCCCCGGGGTGGGGGAGGGGATAGAATGGCGAGTAGAGCTGTTGAGGGTAGTTGGTTGTCACGACGCTTCCTCCAGTGAAAGGCAAGGTTCCTGCTGGGTACACTGAAACATAAAACCAGTGAAATCTATTTATATATTTACCTTCTAGGGCTGTTTACAATAAAAAGGAAAACACTATATCACAATACAAAGGTTTACTCTAAAACCTTAATAATAAGTTGCGGTTTGTTTTAATTTATGCTTATTCTCGAAGCGGGCTTATTTTCAAGGGTGTCTCATCTTCAAAGTCTTTCACACGCCATCAATGGCTTATTTTGAAGACTTTCCTGCTTTGCATAGAAAATATAATGCTACACAGGTTTTTGAATGAAACAAAAGTGTAGATGGTAGACGGACAGACACTGTGTTTACTTAAGAGGCACCTGCATCACTAATAAACTGATTTATAGTAACAGAAAGTTTGGGCCCAGTTGGTCAAATACAACTATAATAAATCTTCAATTTGGGCTTATTACATCATTGTGTAAGTCCCAAAGGACTAAACAAAATCATTCAACTGATTAATTTCGCTCCCTTCAATTGGCATGGCTGGTGCATAAGCAACTCATACGCTAACCTTGACATATGCAAGTTAACTTCAACAGCTGACCAAGTTAAACTGTCAGAAGGTTACTCCAAATAACAGGGTAACAGGGATATGCTTTACATAAGCTTGCAGATAATACAGATTTCATTTAAGACAGTACACAATAATGTAAAATGAAAGAGATCAATGTGCTTCTACCAGGGATTGAACACTCCGACACTCAGCTAAAGGGAAATTCTCTCGAGCGCAAATCTAGAATTATGTACTATCCAAAACCGCCATAATCATTCTTAATTTCTTTCAAAATTGATCAAAATTTACTGATAACTTCACAAAGTAACCAAATGTACTTTGACCCACCTCTCAAACTGATTTGTGCATTTTCAGCTACAATATCTAGTGAGTTTTCAATAACATGTACTATATGCATATGGAAGTGATTAGACTGGGTTGTTTTTTATTTCCTGTCAAACACATTGTGGATTCAGAGAAACAGGATATAACCTATTTTCATGGAAAACCAACTTGGCTCTGTGCCAAACATAAACAAGGGTTTTAAAAGCCATGGGGTGAATTACACCAATTCTTATTAATATTTCAATGGTGTTATTTACATACGTTCGATAAATCAATATATATACCTTGAGCGACATTATCGTTTCATTCTAGCGATGAATGAAATGCACGCAGAAATTGCAAATTACTTGACATTTTACAGGTCCAGGCTTCAGATTGTGAAAAGATTGCTTGACCATAATTTTCTGGTTTTCTATGAATATGATTAAATCTATAGCTGCGCAGTGCTGACACATTTCTTAATAGAAATTCCTTAATAGAAATTACAGACTGAGTAAAATCTGTCTAAATCAACCTCTACCAGGAACAATTCCTATAGCCAGTGGTTACCTGTAATTTAGCACACCTTTGTGGTGTTCTAATAAAAAAAAATTCATAGACTACTGATTTTATAGTTAGGCCAATTAACTAATTGATTCTCAATGAAATTCATGATCGATTTTTGTCAGAATAATTGCATGTTAATATGATGGAGTTTTCAGTAGCTTGATTCCTGATTTCCTGAGAGTTTAAAGCAGCAGAAGTCTCCTGAGGTCTGTTTCTAGCTGCTCTTGGCATCGCCAGACTTACTCAAAAACTTTTACTTTTATAGTTTGTAAGCCCACTCGCATCCAATTTGGACTAAAAATTACAAATTCTACGTTCGAGTTTTTGATATAGATCATAAATACAACATGGGTCATTGACTTGCCACAACAACATGGAGAGTATCACAATATATATCTTCAAAACAATTACTAATTGATCACCGGTTAGTTAAGGGTAGTGATGGGCTGATGACAATTTTTAATCAAAAATCAATTGGTTTGCCCTTTCCGATTCCGATCACCGATTACAAATTAAAGTGTCAAATGGACACAATGTAAATTATGCACTGAAAGTCATTCATTCTTAGCACTTTTACTTTATCATTGACAAGTTTGAAATCCATTTATTGTAAAAGAACAAAACCGTTAATTATGTATAGTTTACAACTCTGTCTATTGTCAATAGACTGAAACTGCTTTGCTCAATTTATCATTTCCTTTTTTTGTATCAAAATAACTCCAAAAAGCATCGATTTGATTCAGACACACCAGTGTTATGATCATTACACACATGTAAACCTAGCAGTAACCAGGAGATCATTTGACCACAGGATGTAAATATTGAGTTTGTGTGAGTTTGGACTTGAATTTGGGAGTTTCGAGGGAGATTGGTAAATTTTGGTCAAAATGAACTTGAAGGAGTCTCCCTCCTAATGTATTGATGTAGCAGTAGTGTTTAACCCTTTCCCTGCTGTAGACCATAATGGACTCATCCATATCAATACATGGTCAAGTCTACTAAAGTTACATAGGGTTGAAAGGGTTAACTTTATTTGCATATTCAGTCCCATAAAACTATGAGGTGAATATATGCAATTGATCATCAATCAGTTCACTACTTCTGATTAAAAACTGATTATTGATTATGATTTTAAACCCATTGTCCATCATTAGTTAGCGTAACTAATGATCAATCATAATATTTCAAATGATTCCCAACACTTGTAACACCTCTATTTACAGCGCTTACCTGTAAATAAATACCTCTATTTATACTCTTACCTGCAACTCAAACAGTCAATAATTTCGAACCTGTTATAATAAGTACCAGTACATCTTTACTCACTACTTACCTGTAATTAAGTAAATGATTTACCTGGATATCCAATTGACAATGGGCATGACTTGACGTACAGGTGAGAACCAATTTCCTGTACAGGTATTGCCACCTCAGACAGCAGGTAACATGTCCCCGCCCCCGGGAGATACCGCACCCCCATACAGTTAATGCTCTCTTCACATCGTCCCACACAATATCCGATGTCCTCGCCCTCGGGAATGGGTGTGACACCTCCAGACTGGCCATCGCTTTCCTTCATGTTCTCAAGGAGCGACATTTCACATCTGTATTCTGTGGAAAAAGGAGGATTCTTGTTCATTCTAACTCCAGCAATCTTGAAAACTAACTTCTCAGACAATCTTATGTTTCGGTCATCAATAAAATTCAAGGAACAAAATCATTTGTAATTGGCTATGCATGTTTAAATGATCAGGGATGATTTCTATTTTGAACAATTGCATTGGCAACTTTGGATACCAAAACATTGTGAGCTATCAATTAAAATAAAGTACCCATCTCCTGCTAAATATTGGCAGCAAAAAGGAGCAAAGGGCCATAACCTTGTAAATAATTGAGCATGCAACCACATTTCAGCATGTTACACTCGGTCATTACAAGTGAAACTTGGATTCACAGTTTGGCAATTGAAGGCGAAAGAGTTTATGAGATATACTTCGGACTAGTACCACTGAGGACTAAATAACTGCATTAAATGAAAGATTCAAAAAGCGTATGCTACCATTAAAACTGATTAAAATTTCAAATCAAACAAGAATACCAATAGGTCAGCGAGGGCACTGCCATGTGCCAAACAATACATGCGCACTCCCCTCTCCCATGTTCTGTTTTTAGTAGCAGTGACCTTGACTTTGACTTTAGAAATTTTCTTGATCTTTCTTGCAAATTGATAGATCACAGTGTGAACATATCACAGTGTATATAACCATGTCAAATTTGAAAAAGATTAGACTTATGGATTCCGAGAAAAGGACTGTACTCCCGCTGTCTGTTTTCAGTAACAGATATTCTTAGATTATCTACGGAAATGAAAGTGTTGACGGAGGGACAGACAGAGGGACACCATGATAACTATATACTGGGCACCCGCATCTCCGATGCCGGGCCCAAATGAAATATCCAAGTAAAATTAAAACACATACAAAAAATATTTTTTCACATTAGGTATAAGTTATAAATATGTTTGAAAATTAATCCTTAGCGAAATTCCATCATGGACTCACCAGTGTACCAGGAGAATCTAAAGCTTCCGTTGTTTTGGTTGGAACCGTCCGAGAGGAATCGGAAGATGAGGAAATTATTGGAACTAGATAAGGACTGCTGTATCCGAGACAACTTTCCTGTTAGTCGGGAAAGACATCGGCTCTCCTCCACTGTAGCGCCACCTATCCACACCTCAACATAGTCAAGGCCATGTTCAAGGTCAAAAGCTGTCACCTGCAAAATATTAGTGCATGTTATGACAATTTTTTCTCAAGAACCTGCTAAAAATATTCCAAAGAAATGATATTTAGGGGTTAAATAGAATATTCTTACGGAAGTTTTACAGCTTCTTCAGTAAACAGATCAGGAAAAGCAGGTTCTAAATGAACATCCATATGACCAAGTTTTGTGCCCAGCCCCCTGCACAGTTACAATCTTCCTTTACACAACCATGGATTCCAAGGCCAAAAGGAACAAGTACACTATATGTTGGCTCTGAGTCAGGAGAGATCAAAATGTTTTTAATAAGTAATGTAACTTTTCAATGACCCAGAATCTGCAGATGTGCGTTCATCGCAGTGATTCGTAAATTTGCGAAGTACCAACAAACTTACATTGACCTGTATGTGTGACCCTGGAGGTCCCTGTATGACCCAAGTGCACAAGGCACGTTCAGGGTACTGTCCAATCACAGCTCCCATGGGGCTCACAACTTCTCCCTCTGTTCCATCTTGGAAGAAGGTACAGGCATCTTCTGAAATTCACAGAACAATGACCGACTGTTTTAACTAATTTTCACATTTGTTTTAACTATTGTGATGTATAATTGTAGTTTTAACTACCGTGATGTATGATTGTAATTTTAACTACTGTGATGTATAATTGTAGTTTTAACTACTGTGATATATAATTGTAGTTTTAACTACTGTGATGTATAATTGTAGTTTTAACTACTGTGATGTATAATTGTAGAATCATTAAATAAATTAAGATAATCATGGAAGAATAACTTAACTGAATTGTCAAATTTCAACATTTTCCCCCTTAAAACTACCATCTTATGAAAGCAACAGAAACCATGTTGAAACTATGTTTTTCAAAAAGTACCCTGGGCACTTGGCAATTGGGGAAAATAAGATCAACAGCAGAAACTTCCAAAATTCCCCAAAATAACCATAATAGCTATTTTTTCATGCATGTATGTAAATTACTGAGAAGGGGTGAGACTCTTAGACCAGAATAAAGGACAGGGAGCACTTATAAGGGATGGGGTACATATTACCTTAACTACATTGTAACCTTGTATTTTCATATCTAGTCCAGACACTTTGTAATTAATGCATGACCTTTTTTTATCTCCCTTATATTAATGCTTAGGCAGTAATTTACATACATGCTTTCAAGGGCAAACAAACCACATTAATTTTCAACCTGAATCTATATGGAAACTTACCACAATCCCTCTCGTCGGACCTGTCACCACAATCGTCCACCTGATCACACAGAGATTTCCTTGCCACACAGTTGCTGTTGGCACACTGGAAACTTCCTGTACAAAACAGCAAACACACATGATACGATTACTGTATACTGGGAAATTTACATTGTAGTTTAATTTTCGCCCGCCTAAAAAGGGTGAATTTTTCCTTACAGCAAACATTTGTAAACAACTTTATAGGCATAGAACCAAATGTGAAGGGAGAATTTCATAATGGGCAAAAATTAATTTTACCGCCGAAGGGCGTAAATTTGACTGGGTGAAAATTTCCCAGTTTACAGTAGCTTTGATGAATTTCAATTTGAAGTCTTGTGTTTGAAAACTAAATTGAAGCAGACAGATCACAAAACTACTTGCTGACACATGTATCAAAAACACTCCTTCATTGAACTGATCAAGTCACTGTCAATGAAGATTATATGCTGAAATAAAATAACTGATATCTATAAGAAAACTCAGTAAAGTTATCTGTTAAAGTAACATTATAAGGTTTTTCAACACATGAAGCCATCAATTGTTCAACTTGTTTTCCAAAGGACTTCTTGTGCCTAGCGACTTTGGTGAAATATTACACAAGGATGTGTTATTTTGGAAAATATGGTGATTTCCATTGATTTTGGGAAAATACAGAAGAATTGTCCATGTCCAAAGGCCTTATAACAGCCCCAAATTCACATTTAAAATAAAATAACTTTAGGCTTTTTTCTTCCAAGTGTACTGAGTTCTTTTACCTGCTGGGCAAGGAGACATTTCACATGCAAATGGGAACAACCAATCACAAGAGTCCATGTACCAAAGGTATTGATTGGTCGATATGTTGACATAAGTACAATCCCCCTTGTTAGTCCTTGGTTCATGCTCCGCCCAAACACCAACCCTGACATTGGTCATCTGTCCGTTGCCCCACTTGCCGAAGGAAGCATCATCGCCTTGGTAACCAATTCTATTGTAACCTAATCGAATATAATAGAATGAAATCCTTGAAAATTAATGAAAATATAAAAGTGTATGCAATTGATTTCCTTTTCACTTAGCTCAGATGAGCCAAAAAATATCTTGAAAACTTTTAGAGTTTTTTCCATATCGGACATTTGTCACAGGATCCTATACATAATATATGGCATCGATAAACAGAAGACTCTCTTTATTTCCTTTGAAACTGTTAGGCCATTTACACTTTTTTTGCATCATTGGCTATTCAAGTACTTCAAAGCCTGATCAATATCCTACTGAGTTGCTTAATTATTTGATAAAATTATTTCAATTTGTAAAAACATGTTATTTTCATACAGATACAGTAACAAACTTCACACAAGGATTTCTCAAACTAGACCCTTTCTATCTAATTTTGTTCATTTTGATCAAGACAATCCTATTCCTGGAGATCCTGAAAGACAAACTCCACCCCCTTAATTCCCACCCACCTCCAGTTTTATTTTTATTTGGAGTGATACATACCAATCCAATAGGTGGAAACTTGGTTGTCCCACAGATCAGCCAGCCAGTCATTCAGCACATATCCAGTAGGCTCTGCTAACCACGCTCCATATCTGTGTCATAATAATTTTTGTGGAATTTAATTATATATTAATTATATATTAATTTAGAACTTAATGATTTGCATCATTTGATTATTTACAAGGGAATTCAGCATTACTATAGCAATCAAACCCAGGTTTCACTGCCTCATGTCAATATATGGCTGAACTGTACATGCGCTTCTAAAGGAAATTATTAAGAAAAAAATGTAGAAGTGGAGCTAATTAGCATAGTCTGGCCTTTCTAAGGGAGAAAATTATGTGACAAATTCAAAATATTTAAGAAATACATAAAAAAAGAAAATGAATAGGGCATTCTCCAACCTAAGTTTGGAGATTTAGCAAGAATGATTTAATATTGTGAAAATGGTTCCGTTTTCACTATCGTAAATATCACATGTAAGCACCACATTACTGTTGGTTCAATCACTGTGCATTTTGTTAATCAAAACTTTATAACATGTTTTTTATCATTAATTTGGAAATTAGACCTATATTGATCATGAAATTGGGGAGGTAATCTAAATTTTTGGAAAATTAAACACTTTTTTGCTAGGGTAAGCAGGCTGTATTTTGCTGTAAAATGAAACCAAAAAAATCACTGCTTTGATATAAAAACAAAAAAATAACAATTCAGAATAAATTCTGCAATCAAATAGTATAAGAACTTTTCATGTATACAAAGATTTTTAAAGTCTTACTTTTTGCAATATGTATTTGCAGCTTGCCAAGTTTTAGCAGTCTGTATCGGTAAATAACAACGTTCATATCCCTTTGTCCAACCTGGAAAAATATGCACAAACACAAGATAATTTCTTACTGTCACTTTCACCATTAATTGAAAATCTTGCATGTTGAAGGTCACACTTAATGTTAAAATATATTTTTTTAACATCATCGAAGGTCATTCTAACGTGTTGAAAAATTCTTGCATCTTTTAAAATTGAACAGTTATTTTTTATTTTTATTTATCTGAAGTTCAAACTTTATTTTAATTCTGTATATCATTAAATCTAGTAATGGGCAATTGGTTAATAATCATAATTGGAGGTAGTAAACCGTTCGATTGCATAATCGGTTAAATGTTATGGGGTTGAATATCCAAATAAAGTGAGAAAACATTATGTATACTGTTACATCAATAGACAGAGTTGTAAAGTATACATACTTAGGTTTCATTCTTATATATATATATAATGAATAGATTTCAAGTAACTTTTATGCAGTTTTATCAATCGTATAGTAAACGTCATATGAATAAATGACTTTCAAATCATACTTTATATTGTATGCATTTGACGCTTTGATTTCAATAATAAAACACTTATATTGATTATGGAATTTGTAATCAATTATCATAATTGGAAAAGTCAAACCAATCGATTTTTGATTGTAATCGATCATCAGACCATCGCTTTATATCAAACTTTCTAAGTTGAAATCATCCATGCATCTATCAAGGTCATGCAATCTCAATGCTTTTCCCGTTAATTTGTTATAAATATAAAATTAGCAATGTACTTCCAATGTATATATATACACGATTGATCTACCTAATATCCAATTAAATGCTACTAAATAATTCAGTCACTCTCATTCATAGCATTTCTGTATTAAATTAACAAACAATCTCTCTACACTTAACTTAACTTATTTTATTATTTACAAACATAAATAAACTTACTTTATATCCAGAAAAGTGTGGCGATGTAACTCTATTATTATTCGAAATTGTCCAACATTATCTTTTGAAATCTGGTCATGCAGATAATTCTCTTATATCTCTACCACAGGTACCAGACGAGGCTATATTACCTGTGATCTACATTGTATTATGTTAATATTTGTTTTTCATTTTAGATATAGACGGAGACGTATAATACGTCTCTGATATAGCTATTCATGTTTACTATATTAATGAAAAACTTACCATCCTGGCAAACAGTTACCAATGCTTGTGCTTGTATCTTCTGAAAATAAATTAAGTCATTATTGTTATTAAATATTTATATTTAAGAACCAAGCTTTGTTTTAGCCGAGTACAGTTGTTATTCACCATCTTTTAACAATGTCTCGTCTAAATAATTTCATAAAGGCTACACCATTAAATTCGACCTTGCCCCCATTACAAATTACAATGTCAAATGTCCACTCGCATTCACAGTGTGGGCGTTTTAATGTGGTGTTGTTTAATGTGGTTAAAAACTTTAAGTGAAACTAATTGTAAAAAAGAGCACTTTTGTTTTAATTTTCCAAGATGTTTCCAGGTGTGCAATGACCTGATGACGTCTAAATAATACTACTACGGAATTAAATTTGCTATCTAAGTCCGTGGTAATACAGAAAAGTTACACCGGAGGTTAGTCCATGTGCAAGCCCCGAGAAGCAAAAGTTAACTTCCCCTTCGTACTGTGACCACGGAATTAGATGGTATATAAGTAGTCCGTGTTGTGACTTCGATTCCCTAACTCTCAATGTCAAATCATCAGAATCCATGACATTTCCGCATGCACAAGGCACCAAAATAAATAAATCTGCACCTACATGAAGGAAGCTCAGAAAATCAGACGAGATTACAACAGCCTCAATTTAGCAGCTTCACCAACATTTTCTCTGCTGATCTGATTCACTGAAACGTTTTCATTTCGTAGAAAAATATTTTGGCGGGAAACTTGTGCCAAGGGGACCGTCACGTAATACGACGGACATGGATAACTAATCTCACTGCATACTTCCCATCTCTCACAATGGAAAACTGTGGGAAATAAATAACTTGCTACCACAGTCCACTCACAAATAATCCCCTTTCAAGGCCAATCATGATTACATGACCATGAAAGGGTGTGTGCCCAGTGGACTGTGGCTACAAATGCTGTAAGAAAGGGGAGATAATCAGTCAGTGAGTAACGATGAAGTCAATACAGTAGAGGATAAACTTAGTTGACACATTTAAAATAAGGGGAAAAATGAAAGTTAAAAATGGTAATTTCTTGATTATCAGATTATCATGAAAAATATTTCCTTATCATGTGAGAGGATAAGCATTTCCCGGAAAAGTTTATAATCTTCAGGAGCTGTTCCTTTATAAATACAAAATTGCACATTCAAATATAACATTCATTGAAAGAACTGGAATTTCTTAGGGATTAAGATAAACCCTTACATTGTATATATAAAAATGTTTTCAATGTCTTGTACCTTTGCCACATCTTGAAAATTAAACTGAAAAATGTAGTCAGAAATTCAACATTACTGCATACTTCCTAACTCTCACAATGGAAAACTATTGGCAATAAATCACTTGCTACCACAGTCCACTGCACACATAATCCCCTTTCATGGCCAGTCATGACTTAATGACCATGAAAGGGGGCCGGGTATGCCCAGTGGACTGTGGTCACAAATGCTGAAAGAAAGGGGAGATAATCAATAAGTAAGTTATAACGATGAAGTCAATACAGTGGAAAGGATAAACCTAATTGACACATTTAAAATAAAAATAAAATGGATACAGTTAAAAATGGTAGTTTCATGATTGAAAAACAAACCAACAAAATTACACAGTTGGCAGCGTTATTGGTTTCCTTATCACGTGAGAGCATAATTAAGCACTTCCTGGAAAAGTTGATAATCTTTAGGAGCTGTTTCTTATACAAAATTGCACATTCAAATATACCATTAATTGAAAGAAATAGAATTTCTTAGGGATTGATCAACCTTTACATTGTTTGTATGAAACTGGTTTCAATATACTGTACCATTGCCACATCTTGAAAACTAAACTGAAAATGTAGTCAGAAATTCAACAGTGTTTCCTGTATTTTGTTCTAATCGTTGAACAGACACTCCTTTCCTTCCCTGACACTGGAGCTGGAAAGTAATCCAAAAACACTTGTATCCATTATGAAGGATACACTCAAACTTGGCTATTGAGAATAGATATAAACTTACCTGGTTCTGATTAGTACGCACACACACAGGTATATGTAAATTATCTGCAGTGTAGGGTAGGTAAAAAGATTGTACAGGTGAACATTTTTTACTCAATTTTTCTGTTTTGTTCGAGTTGGGAAGCATGCAGTAAGCCAGTTATTGCATGATTTCTCGTCACTCGGGACTTATTACACCCTCGCTTCGCTCGGGTGTAATAAATCCCTTGTAACTCGAAAACCATGCAATAACCTTTACAAATTCCGTGTGTACGACAGCCTCCGTTATCAGTGGCAGCTTCCATGAGGGGGAAATTGAGGAAATTGTGAAAATATTAAATTTATTAAAGAAAATTATAACGGCCGGGGTTTCTTGAAGCCCAAAAATAACGTCTGGATCCGCCACTGGTCATCCCAGGGATGTGTATCAATCAATACATCGGGTCCTATGACACCATCTAGCTACTACTTCCACCAGATGTATTATAAACAAAATAATGTAGTAATTCTGAGTATTTTTGGTTTGTTTACACACCAATTTCACGCTTCAACCACGCTCTGCTGAAGCCAGAACTTGTCCGCTAGAGGGCGCTCGTATCATTGAACACCGATCAAGGGAGATAATTAGCCAACCTCACTCGAAACATATTTAATAAGGCAAAGAGGAAGTTGCAGTTCCCTCCACAACACACCCCTGGTTATCCCTAGCGAAAATATAATTAATCCATCTCACAACGGCCGGTGATAATACATTATTTTGTATATAGACTGACGTAAAAGCCATTAAATTAATTTTAATTCCCTGTTTATGGCCGCAGAAATAGCTCTTCCAAGCTAATGTTTGTATGTTTATGGTATGCGACGTTAAATAACTATTCCTGTATCTTGTTTAGTTGTGTCGCGGATTTATATTAGATCTATCCAAGTCCGTGGTTTTATCTCTGGTAAAATACTTGCCAACGTTAACCCTCCCTAACTTTTAGAAGGGAGACTCCCGATGTTGGCCCCTTAAATTTAGCATTTTCAACCAGTGAATTTACATTTACATATAACCATTTCTATATTCTAAGATCTAATGATTTAAGCTAAAAGAACAACTCAAAATATGTCTTCAAATGGTTATTTTGTCTCTAGAGGGGTATATACACGTACTTTATTTAGATTTTAATTTTGAGCGAGCATAATCCCCATGGATTGTTTTTGAAAAATGGCTAGTATGTTCAAGGAACATTTTAGTGAGGTACATGTAAGTTTTTTTATAACCTTGTCACAAAATTCTTCCTGATATTATAGTTTGATACTCCTTGTGAACAATTCATGTTGAGAAACTGACAAAAGGCAATGTTATCTTGGCGTTTTTAATCAGTAGCCGTACGTTTTATTGGCAGATATCGGTGAATTTCTTGCTAACAAAATGTCTTTCCAGCCGAGGAGAGAAGGTAACTCCTCGCTTAGCACAGGCATTTATTCTGAATCAAAATCGTCTTTAAACAGCATCTCAAAATGAGTGTATATTACGTTTAAACCTTTTTATATCGTACTTTCTGCGGTTTGAAATTCTCACTGCGGCACCCTCTCAGTGCGTGCATGCTCTTATTGAACCTGTTCGTTTTTATTCAAATCCAAATGTGAACAGAAATATCTGATTATAGGTTAATATTATGATATTTATAATTCTTACTTGCGATGTATTGTGTATATTCAAGAATGTGGTATGTGTGTAGTAAAGGTCGACAGCGTAGTGCTGTATATGTGTTGCGCTATTTCAGTCGTAGCTATTTTTATCACCGGCTTTCCCAAAAGATGAAACTGACCACACTGGACGTCGGCTTCAGGTCATGTCATTGTCAACTACATAAACTTTCGTTAGGAGGTATATATTTTCAGTATAGACTGGATTTTCAGGTTGTCATTTGACTAAATAGCCCCTTTAAGTAAGAATTACCGAAATTGATATAAACTCTTAAAAACGTGTGAAATTAATCTGAACATCTCACTTTAGGTCTAAATATAGCTGTAACAAATTCTAAGGTCCCTGTGGCACGATAAACCCCCTTACGATGGCATTCACTTAATTATTTCAAGAATAAGACAACGGCGACGGACGCTGCGCCATACCTCCAGGCATGGGATCTTATAACTACAAATTGAGGTAGGAACTACCAGGGCGCCACCAAATCGAAATTGGGAGTACTTGTTATTCCAAATGTCTTGCCTTTAACAAAAAATCTTTGCCAACATTTCTTGAACAGACACTGCATGTACGAATCGGATTTTAACATGTATTGATCAAGGTCCATGAAGCTCCTGTACGTTCCCTGTATTGAACCACCTTCGTGAAATACACCGCTTACTCTAAATACCATTATCCCATCACGTTCATAAGTAGACTTAGACAAGACGGCAGGAGAAATCGATATCTACGTGTCATGATATTAGAGGTATACAAATAAATCATTCATGTATTTGTGCAGGAGATGCTCTGGTTTGTTTCTGCCCCCGCCTCATTATGGTAGGTTCATATTGAGTGATCCTCTGTTCCGTCACTCCCATAATTATAAGGACACGAAGTGGGGGTGGGGGGTACAAGATAATATTCGGACCCATCTTCATGTTTGTGACAAGAATAGCAATACAGGGAATTATGTTCACTGTTTCATGCGACGTTAAATACAAATTCCTGTATCTAAGGAGTAACATCCGGCGTTTTCGTGTCGTCATTTCCGTATTGCGTAAATAGCACGTGCGTGACGATGATATGTCGCGTGACGATGATATGTTAACACTCGTTATCGAGACGTTACTGGGAAACGTGTTTGTAATGAACAAAGACAAATTCTTCATGCAATGATCACACATTCTTCAGAAATTGACTCACGGGTTAATTGCGAAAGGGCGGTGCCTCCTTAAATAAACGCTTGATAAAGAATATTTGACTTTCAAATACATACTTTACACAGCAAAACAATTTAACACTTTGATTACTCCGATACCAAGACTAACATTGACTCACGGGTTAGTTGCGAAAGGATGGATCTAGGCTCATTAAAAAGAACGCTTGGTCACAATCTGATTAAAATCATCTGTTACATGGCTCCGCCTGAACGATGTTCAGGCGTAGTACGAAGTTAACGAAGCCATGTAACATATGATTTAAATCAAATTGGTTTGATCAAGTCCTGTAGTATATACTATCTTTGGGGGAGGGTGTTTTTTTTTATTGAGTGTTGATCTTTACCCCTCAAACGACTCATAGCGATACATACGACTACGCCATGTACATGGTAACTGATTGTCATGTCCCTGTGATCGGCCCGTCTGTACACATTGGCAAGACTTTTCATTTAATACCAACTTCGTTTCATTTCATTTCGTTAACAATATGATATAATACAAAACGTAATTATTGAAAAGGGATTTAAAAACAAGTTTTACAACTTATACAGACTTCGTTTTCCCCCATTTTTCTTAAACTAGGAGTTCAACAGTCGTTAAACGTCATACATGGGTACACTTTGAAGAATACTACACGATATATCAAATATAGGTCAATGTGGCATAACGTTTCAGCTTCACTGACTTTCATTAATAATAATAATAAACTTTATTTATTGAGGATACAAAACCTGTTTAGCAAAGCTAATCTTCCACAGGGTCCTCTGTTAGTAAAATTGGTTAGTTAAAAGACAAAGTAGTATCACAGCAAATAAATGTACATAAAATAATTGTTGGTCTACTAAAACAGCAATTCATATCACAGTTATTTCATAATTTAAACGGTCGTTCAATACAATTACAATAAAATTATCACAGAAGCACGAAATATATTCCGTGCTTAACCCATTATGGTTTTCATTAAAAGACAAATTGTCTAATTTACATATATGCTAATGTAGCAAAAGCTAAAAATTGACAGAATACACGCTAATATAGCGAAAATAAAACAAATCAAAGCTGTATCTAAAAAGTATAATAGTAAAAATAAAAGACAATTAAACCGCATTCTTAATGTTACCAATCATATTTTGTTTGAGTTTTGTCAAGGAGGAAGAGAGTCTTACTTCAACCGGTAAATTATTCCAAATCTGGCTCCCTTGTACCAAAAAGTGTTTGGAATAAAATGTGGTACGGTGTTTGGGTACCTTGACAGAGTTTTGGGATGCTGATCTAGTATATCTGTTGTTAGACAAATTAAATTGATTAGAAAGATATCCTGGAACTAGATTATTTATACATTTGTACACCATAACACCTCTTTTGAATTTCAAATATTCGCCAATTGGTAACCACCCTAATGAAGAAAACATTTCTACTGATGGTGTATCAAATGGAGCATCCAACAGTAATCTTGCAGCTTGTTTCTGCGCTTTTGACAGTTTTTGTAGAAGATTTAAAGAGCATCCGCTCCATACTGTGCTACTGTACATGAAGTGGGGAAAAATACATGCATGAAAAAATTTAAGTCTAGCTGAAAGTGGTAAATATTGACGGATGCGTCGAAGTAAACCCAAACCACTGTTAATCTTTGAAACAACAGATGCTATGTGATCTAACCAAGATAAACTGTTGTCAATTTTTACACCAAGAAGTTTTTCACTCTTTACTTGTTCAATACATTCCTGATCTAATATTAGGCTTAGAGCAACATCTATTCTGTTAAGTTTCTGTTTTGTGGCAATAACCATACATTTCGTTTTATTCCTATTTAGAATCATTTTATTCTCATTACACCAGTCTTGGACTTTACTCAGATCAGCTTGTAACTCATCCTGTACAATAGAAATAGAACTTCCAGATGCACACAGAGTCGAGTCATCAGCATACATATCTGTACCTGATTTTAGCCCAAGAGGTAAATCATTGATAAAAATAAGAAACATCAGGGAACCTATTATGGAACCCTGTGGAACACCATGGAACACTATGAGTAACACTTTCATTAAACTTTCATTTAAATAAAAATAAATGCTAGAATCAAGGCGATTGGGGCTATGGTTGTTTGCAATGCTTTTCCCTTTGTTCTAATGCTATTTCTGACAAAAAGTATAGGTATATATGGCATTAGGCTAATTACAATTGTCTTCCAAAGTCGCATTTTATTGCATTCTTTTTCAATGTAAACAATCAAACTAACGATACACAGCCTTTATGGTGATTGTAAACACGCTAACCAATACATTGCCAATGACCAGGGTCCAGTTTTTAAAGCATTGTTAGCTGTTAAATTTTGAATGACAACCGTATTTGTTCGCATCATAATTTGAATTAATTTATAATCAAATGGTTTCCAAACATCATTAATTCAAATAGTTAAGTTAATTGCAAAATATTCAGTGAAAAACTGTAATTAAACATTTGAGAGAATGATCGTTAACCTAAAAAATATTTGAACAATTGGTTTATGTTAAAAACTTACAAGTATAATTAGCTTCACTAGACATGATTGATTTGAATAAAATGAAATCAATATTAACAGTTATTAAATAAGTCACAAAACCACGCTTGTATGAAATTGAAAAGACAAACTTGAACAAGAAATCATAAACACCTCGGAAAAATATGTCTGGTAATTTTTGGTTTTAACTGATTAAGCTGACAAGGTTTTGAACATCCGGTACCGTGTGATTATTGCGGGTTCATTAATAAGTCAACACAGCGATACATGTAAAACGCCTCTTACGTGCGGGAGTCAGTGGACCGTGACTATTTCTGTTTGAACTCGAGGAATGACAAATGGAAGCGAAACATAAATCTATCGCCTGGGAAGTAGCATGGTGTCTGGGTTCATTGTGTTTAGCTAATTAGTACAAGTATGGAAACATTGTTGAAATGCGTTGGTACATTAGTTTTACAAGATATAATAGATATACAGTAAAATGATTTAAACTAAACTTCACACGTTTTTTTAGTTTCATGTCTATATCATTTAATCGTTATGCTTCGCCTTTTTTAATCATTGGCGTATCAGCATGTACGAGAATGGTGATTTGACTTTTGTGTGTGGTTTTACTTCGTTCGTGTAGATTGGATAAATTGTCTTATATGGATAGTGGGATATTAGGTCCACATAAGTCACCCCATAAAACCATGCATTGGAATACAGTAGGCCCACATGAGTCGCCTCATATGATCAGCAGTGTGATACAGTAGGCCCACATGAGTCGCCTCATATGATCAGCAGTGTGATACAGTAGGCCCACATGAGTCGCCTCATATGATCAGCAGTGTGATACAGTAGGCCCACATGAGTCGCCTCATATGATCAGCAGTGTGATACAGTAGGCCCACATGAGTCGCCTCATATGATCAGCAGTGTGATACAGTAGGCCCACATGAGTCGCCTCATATGATCAGCAGTGTGATACAGTAGGCCCACATGAGTCGCCTCATATGATCAGCAGTGTGATACAGTAGGCCCACATGAGTCGCCTCATATGATCAGCAGTGTGATACAGTAGGTCCACATTATTTGCCTCATATGATCTGCTATGGGGAAAACAGTAGGCCTACCTTACACATCTCTTGATTACCAATGGGAAACAGTAGCCTACCTTACACATCTCTTGATTAATAGTGGGAAACAGTAGGCCCCACTTTA